ATCCTGCTCCGTAGTAATGTCGCGACACACTTTCTTTTCGAACGCGTTTCGCGGAAAAGCGGACGACCGCGATATAATCTCACCGCAATGCTAACCAATTAGCAGTACTAGCAAACGCGTTATACTAATTCCGTATCACCACGAATGTCCTACATTTCGCCACACACACGTACCACCGAAAATTGCGCGCGAAACGCGATAATAATCGCGAAAAATACGAAGAAATTCGAACGTTGTTCCGTCCGGTATCGCGCGTCCGCCATGATTGACCGCCTTCGAGAATCGCAATATCGAAGCGCGCGATATTGCGATTCTCGAAGTATCGAACGCGCGCGCGTCNGTGCGATGTTCAAATCTCTCACGCACGTAGGAACGCGAGAGCAAAAGGAAAAGAAACTGGTAAAAATATNACAAACAGAATAATTAAAATGGTTTCTTCTGAGCACTGTCTAATCGAGAGAAAAGTTAAATTTTGAAAAATAGCGTTTTATTCACTTGCGTCGAATTTATCGATGTGACTACGTAGTTCAGAAACCGTGCACGTCGCGGCGCTCGAGCAAACGTAATATTGGACCGTCGTGAGAAACGAGAAGTAAACACAAGTCGGATCACAGAAGAATACAATCATTAGTAAATGCAAACAAAGAGTAAAAATGCGATTTCTACGATAAAACATGGCACAGTTAAAAGTGAGTAACATGAAAAATACGCGAAATAATTCCAAGAAACGATATCAAGTATTCTTCAGTTTTACCTGCGTGTTGTACTGACTTGTCTTCTCCTAATTTCTGTATAGAGAAAAAGTAGCTGGTGTGTACCGTCATTTGATTGTGAGCCAGCGAGCAAGACTCTGGTGAAGCGAACTAGCAAAGGTAATGAGAATTTGTTTGATAAATCATTTACACAAGACAGTTTCAAGAAAGTGAGACATGAGACCAGTCTGTCAAAACTGCTCGAGGCTTGCGAGCCTCAGAAATCCTCCGAATTGGCGATCAGCAAACAGAAGCAGAAAGAAATTACTGACTGGTTTCAGTGTGGAGCGTTGAGAGGACAGCCGTCTATGCTGATCCTCTCCGGTCCTTCTGGTTGTGGAAAAACCGCAGCCATAAAGTTACTTGCTAAAGAAAATGGATTTGATGTCATAGAGTGGATCACTCCCATTGATCCAGCTGAAGATGAAAACAGTAATTATTTGATATATTACTTGTAGAATAGCGTCAAATTCCATTTATATTCTTTTCAATGCAGAAAGTTTTAATATGATCTTAGAGCATATAATGCGGCAAGGAGACAGATTTGAGGATCACTTGATTCGCGCTACGCGTTATCACACGGTACTAGGCAGCTGTTCCAAACAGCTGCTTCTTGTTAAGGATCTTCCTAATGTATATCAGGAAGATCACAAGGCCTTTTTTGCTCTTTTAGAGTAAATATTTTACTAAATATTGTAAGATATCGAGGTCTTCTTTTGCGCAATGTTTCCTGATTGAGATCTTTTTCTAGAAATTATTTCCAGATAGGAAAACAGCCTGTGATATTCGTTTGCACAGAAACCGGAAACTCGAGATTGATGCAAACCTTGTTTGCTCCTGCTATAAGGGAGAAATTCGGCATTCGTGACATTAGGTAACGATTTTTATATTGTCTGCGAAATCAACGATAAAATTTGCTAATACACGCGGTGTAAATGTTTTGAATTTCGATTTATTCGTAGCGTAAACGCGGCTACGCAAACCTCAATAAAAAACGTACTAAAGCGTGTGTCCAATATATTGAATACCGTTGCCAGCGACATGCTGCACGTCTCTCAGCACCATATCGACGAAATATTGTCCAATAGCATAGGCGACGTGCGTAGTGCTGTTTTAAATTTAATTTTTATTTCTCTTAAAGGTACGTATATTGTTAGATAAGTCTCTCAAGCTCGAGTTTGAATCGTTCTCGTTTCTGCTAGTGCCCGGGCGACATTTGAAAAGTGATTGCGGTCTGCGGGGGGAAACCTTGGGTCTGTTGCGTGGAATCGGAAGAGTCACAAATCCGAAAAGTAAAATTCGATTTTATCTTCAGATCGCGTCAAATTTTCACAACTTAGTGAGAGATTAAAATTTTTTATGAGTAATTTTAGGAGAATCAGATGGCAATTCCTTCAAGTTCGTGCATGATCCTGAAGAAATAGCCGGGTACTTTACTTCGCATTCAATGGTTTTCGTTCAGTTTCTTCAGGAAAATTATTTGAACACGATACGAACACTCGAGGAAGCCAGTGTAGCGTCCGATATCTTGAGCTTGGCCGAAGTTTTCAATTCCGAATGGCGTGTTAGTTTCACTTCTCTCTGTTAATTTCCCGAGAGATTTTTATTATCTTATTGCATTATTATAATTTTTTTCGACAGGATCGTAATTTGGGTAAAGTCGCATTGTCGTATTGTATCCGTGGCTTGATGCTGGCCAATGAAAAGCCTGTAACTGCATGGAATCCGGTGAGAAAACCGCGAGACACTCAGAACATGTAAATATAACTAATCTTGATATAAATTTATTTTTTCTCATACATCTCTCATATTTATAATCTTTAATACTCTTTAATATTTATTCGTAGACGACGATGCTTGATAACAGCCGAGAAACAATGGTACGAGTCAATAATCAAACCTTCGTCCGTCTCGAAAGAAAGTGAAAAGATATCAGATGAAGATACGGAAATGACTATTGTTGAAGATTAGCGAATGTATATTGAACTTATTTACGCAGGTTTCCTACATACTTGCAATTTTTTTACTCATTTCCATTTTCTCTAGTACTATTGTTAAGATTAATTAAAAACATTTGTTATACGAGTAATTTTATACCTTTGTCATTATCAGAAAAAGAATTCCAAGAAGTCTAGGTTAGGTTAGGTTAGGTTAGGTTAGGTTTAAACGTTGAGTTTCTAATATAATATATTTTTTGATATAATATTAATTTTTCTTGACTTTCAAGAAGCCGGCTGTGTTAGAGAAGTATTTTGCATTTGCCTCGTTCACCTTCTTCTCCGCAGCTTGTGGATTGACAATTTCAAGACCCTGTAAACACACCAACAAAAAAAAAAGTAAGAGATATTGTTATAACTGGTTTTGATAATTTCAAAGAATACGAACGTACTTGTAAAGGTGTGAAAGCGACACTGGAAGCGGTACCGGAGACTTGCTTTTTGACAGTAGTGCTCCCACCCCATTGTTGTTGCTTCTGCAGGTTCTTCTGAAGCGTCTTAGATATTCTGACCTTCGTCTTTTCGTCGATCTGTGGCAGTCTGATTCGACCCGTGCCGGCCTTACCGATTGTTCCTCGCGTGTAGCCGAGATCCTCTTGGTAGGCGTCATTTTCAATCTGTAAAATCACAATACAATCAAGTTATCTTTCGGTGCAATCGCAAAGCTTAGAACTATTCTGTTACTCACGTCCGCGAAGTTCATCCTATTGGCGTGTTTTCTGAACTCGGTGATTGCGTAGCGCTCCTTCATCTTGCGGACGCGTTTACCTCCGCGTTTTTTCCGACCGGGATCGATCGGTTTCGGCAGCGGTTTCACGAACTTCACCGGCGGTGGCTCTTGCAACTTGTCCAGCTTCTTTTCAATCTCCTCGCGTAGCATCTGGCCGATGTGACCGTCCGTGCTCTCGTGGCAGGCGTCCACTCTGGCCGCCAGCATGCTCTTAGCCGCTACTAGCCTCGCCGCTTTTCTTCGTAGATCCTGCAATATCAAGTCTATTATACTTTTATTTTATATTTTTAAGATTCTTGTTGCACACATACGTATATATTGCGCTTTTCTTTACAAAATAGAAAACTTACCGGAGGTGTTTCTTGTACGATATCCGAGTAATAGATGAATCCGGTGTGAGGTAAAGTGGTGACTTGCGAAAATCCAGAGAGCGTGGTCTTTTGAGATCCCAAGACTAGAAGGTTACAAGCTGGCATATTGGACAGCTTTGTCAGACCACCCGCCACACCTAAACATCGACAAAAACTTTGGTGCAACAGTGTGAAAAGTCTATTGTTTTAACATACAAGTTTTAACAAATTACCCATTATCTTGGCAGCTGTTGATGCACCGACAATTATCGATAGATTTGGCGCAATAAATGCCATTCTACTTTCTACATATTCAAATATCTTCAGTTTATAATTATTCAATTCCACCGCCATGTCACAAGCTTCACAAATAGCTTCTTTTTCCTCCTCTGTTAGTAATTGTCTAAAAGATATAAATAGGTAGAATATTTAAAAAATAGTTAATAGAGGTTTCAAAATAATAAAGATATATTACCCTTGAGTGGTTGAGGCTGTCACAGAAACAACCATGATAGTGGCTTGAGTGAGAAACTGTTGTAGTATCTCATTGTTCTTGGCCTTGTCCAGATCATTGCCCAATTCTCTAACAGTCATTAAATACTCTAATGGCCCTACTACTAAAGATTCCAACTCTGGAAATCTTTTTGAATACTTATCTCTTGTGAATCTATGTATAATAGCTGGAAATAGTTTTTACATGTGTATATACAATCTGTAGTTTACTTTGCAAAGAAAGGATGTGCAATTGTTTCAACTCTAGTATACCTATTTCGTTATCAATATCAACTGCCATGTTATTAGCTTCAACTATCAACTGATATTCCGGATCAGACTCGACAGGTCCTATAATGTCAGTTGACTTTCTCGGTATCTTGCTGTGTTTTTCAATCTCTATTATAACTTTTTGCAATTGTTCCGAATCCCGTAACTTGGCCAATTCTCGAACAGTAGACACCTTTATTTCTAAAATCGTGTTGTGATCATTGAATATTATATAAAATACACAAGCAAACGTTAGTTTTTAAATCGTGTGAGATGATCTAACCTTCTTCTATGACTTTGGAAACCGAAGTTGGAAGAAAATTCGGTTCCGATTCCTCTATGAGCATATCCCCGTCATCGTTTTCCTCGAGATCGGCGAGTAGTTCGTCCGCTAGAGACATTTCTTCAAATTATTTATTTAATTTGTCACACAACTCGTCGACGTAAACACACGCGATCACGTTTTGAGCCAAGTGGTATTTAACACAGAGTTATTGAATGAAGATGGCGTTACTGTGTCAAATCGTGGTTTGTGCATCATCTGTGTAAATATGGGATCGATAGCAGTTCGTCACGCAAAATACACGCGAGTAAATTAGAAAACTATGAATGACAAAACCGATCAGCAGCGATGTGACTACTCCGCCGGGAATTCTGAATCGAGTATACTATGATCGTTGTACATTGGGAAAGTGAGGTTTTTCTTTCTCGCGAAAGAAGAATCTGCAAATCTTAACTGTATGAAGGGTTGCTCATTGATCGTATCTTATATATATTGATGGGAGAAACCTTTTGGAAAGCATGAAATGCAAAGGAACAACCTCAGAAGAAAAACGTGAGTCCATTTTTGTATTTCGTGTGTTTTATTTTGTCTGAAAATTTTTATTCAAATGTGCATTTATGCGAAAACTTGTTTCGCAGAATTAGTCCGCTGACGCAAAAGATAAAAGCTCCTCAACATCTGCTGAGACTTCACGACAGAGAGGATGAATTTAACGATGAACACAGCGATGGCTTTCGACTGCCCAGCTTGCCCAGCTTACCGCAGCCGAAGTGGAAAAACGATGATAATGTCGTGTCTAATAGTAACAGCGCGGCAACCTCCGTTTCTTGGTCACAAGAGGTGGAAGACGCGGCAACTCAGAAAGTGGAGGAACAGTGGATGACTATAGAGAAATTCTTTTACGAGGAAGAGGGGGAGGAGGACAATCAGTCGCTTCAGGGAGCCATTTTAGACGAATGTACACAGTGGAAGACACAGATACCATATTTCCGAATAATTGGTAAAAATCCGGCTTGTGACAACAACACGCGAGATAAAATTGATTCCAGTGACAAAGAAAAACTATTTGATGATCCACAAAATGATGAACAGCTCGTAGAACACAGTTCTTTAGTAAAGGTAAAGAATTAGGAAAATTTTTTTCAGGAATATTATAATTAACTGATCTTCTACAAATTGTATTTTTATTTACAGGAAAGAGAGGATTCTGCAGAATACAAAGCAAATATCGCAAAATTCGAGGACGTTCTCAATATCTTGACAGAATATGTCATTTCACAGCTCTTCCCCAACGAGAGTGATACAGACTCTTTATCTGAAACTTTGAGCGATGCTCTGAAAATAACTCCCGCTCCTGTTCACAGTAATACCAGAAATTCCTCGAGAAACTCGAGAAGAAACTGGACGGAAGAAGCCAGTTCGCCGAATTTTATTGAGAATAAGTCTCTAAGCATAAGAAATCGATTGCTGGATACAAAAAGCTCCCTTCAGACAATAAAGAACGACGCAACTTATCAAGAAATTCAAAGGTGAACAAATGAGAAATACATAAACAAAAGAAGAAAAAGCGATCTTGCACTTTATATATCGTAATCTGATTTGCAGGAGACAGAAGAGCTCCGCGAGCAAGTCGAGAGACAATGGCGGAACGGGAGAAGACGCGTCCAAAGAAAGACTGCCCACGCCACACATAGGCAGAAATAAGCTCGGCACCGTCTTCAATGAGAAGATTGTCGTGAGTCCCGTGCCCTTTGTGGTATCCACGCGGGAAAGCTTTTCCACTTTGAAAACTATTCCGATTCGATTCATGAACGAAGATATTTTTCAAGGTAAATGTCAAGTTGTCTTCCGTGTTTACCAATGAAAAATATTGATATTCACGGAGATTCGTTGTTGGTCCAGGACCTCCCAGACACGTTTCAGGTTTCCAAAATTCCGCGAGAAAACCGGGTACTTCGAGAAGTCCAAATATTTATTCCGCCTGGCAGGCTCCTGTTTGTCCAACTGTGTGGCCGAAAAATGTCCGACTCGCTCCCATAGATACTTCGACACTTCGTAGCAGTAGTAGAAATAGGTTCGTGTTTCGACAACCGATTGTTTGTTTAGATCATTCGAATGTGCGTTACGAACATTCGAATGTGCGTTACGATCATTTTCAGATTCGCACCGTCGCCGGTTGTTCTGCATTGCAGCAAAAAGCCGCTGAGTCCGATTTCTCGGCCGGTGATTCCGAAGTCCGCTCGCACAACTCGCGTTCGCAACGGCGATTTTTTAGAGATCCAAGGAAGGCACGTTGTTACCGATCAGTCCAAACTCAATTGGGACTACACTCCGAGAACGGTCTCCAGGAGCAAGAAGAAAAAGGAACGAACGAAGGGAGGGAAAAGAGCTTGACGTTGTAAAAAAAAAAGCGTCTTTACAAAACGCTCTCTGTCGAGAGAAATATATTTTTCTGTGTCCTTGTATATGTCGTGTTGTATAAGTCGTTTTTTGTGTGCGCGATCGTGAAAAAATCAATCAGAGTACAAAATGCTATTTTCGACACGTTTGGTTTTTCGCAGCAGAAAAATAAAATGCTTTTGGAGCACAGACGGCAAAAATGCTTTGGAAACGATAGCGCTCGTACTCGAACGAATGCTCTTCTTTACAGAAGAGAAGAGAAAAACGTCCTTACGCAAACGTTTCCGCGTGTATTTCGAACACCGTTGTTTTTTTAAATAAATATAACGCGTCGTTGACTGTTTCTACCTCATCACGTGTATGTTCGAATGTTCCACACGCTTATCGCGAATGAATATTTTTGTATGCAATGCGCACGAATTATATGTGTACAAATGTATCGTTGTAAATATATGTGTTCGATGTGAGTAAATGCAACAGTGCATTGTTGTCGAGCGATGAATATACATACAACATACATTCCATCGTCCCGAACAAATCCTTTTTGTCATAACGTAGACGTATGTTTATTATGTTTATCTGTTTACTGCGCCGCATAACAGCTGAGAAGTTAAAAATAAATCACGTAAACACTCGGCAAATTGGAAGAAATACGCAGAGATTGGCAACAAATTTTTGCGCGAGTTATAAACCCTGAGCAGATCTGTCGAATGATTTTTTTGTTTTTAGTTTTGTTTCATTTATTTACTTTCAGTCTGTCAACAAACCTATGTTCAACAAACTTGCTAAGTGTTTTGCTGCATTTCGTTTTTAACAGATTTTGTTGTATTTTCGAAATGGAATTCTGCCGACAGAGATACATCGAATCTGTTGTCTCTCTCTAACGCGACAAAATAAATCGCGAAAATCCATTTTCGATAGATTTTGCCATCAGCGCAGATAGTGTGAAATATAAAAATGGCACGAGTAAATTAAAATATATGTAATTACTTTGATACTGCATTGCGCGGCGTGTGTGTAGACTATTTTTATGCGCTTATATAACGCGCGCATCAGATTAAAAAGAAAAAAGAAACAATATAAAATAGCAAAACTAGGCGGTAAGGCAAAGAAACGACCCAGCATCCTCACTGAATCAATATTCTCTCTGTGTTCCCAACAACATTATCCATTTCTTTGAGGGCGTGTGTGAAAATCGCAAGAAACTCTCAACGAGAGAGAATACGGCATTTGCGCAAGTTCAATGTCTTTGGCGCCACAACGCTTTCCGCGTTGCGTTTAGTTTCGCGCGAGCTCGCGGTGGTACAGGACGCTTTGGCGCTTTCGGGTCGGTAAACTTGGAGGGTGAGTGAAATTCAAGATTCCATAAACCGAATCGTATTGACAAAATTACACAACGTGAGCTAAAACAATGTTTTTGTTTTTACTCAAACGATTTCTTCAAAATCCACGAGTTTTTATCTTTCGCAAAAAGATTTTAATATTTTTTTTCATCAAATTATAGCAAAAATGTACGAAATATTGAGACTTGTTTAAAGTTTTCTAATACGCTTTTGAAATATGATACATTGTTGTTTGAACAATTGCCAAAGAGAAGAAATGTATTTTCCCACAGGAAAATCTTCGGCGGTGTAAAGGTGCAAAGTTGGTGCATGTCTCATCATGATAACTCAGACGAAGCATCTCGTGACGAATTCTCCCGAGCGTATGTCTATTTACGAACAGTCGGAAAATATGGAACATCTGACGACAGTGACAAGAATCTTAGGAATATGCACCGCTATTGGTGAGTTGATATTGATGAGCTCGAGTTGTTAATTAATTAAAATATGTTTTATCTTCGAATCGCGAGACTTGAAACCTAGACGGCAATTTTTTTTTTAAATGAGGATAAAGAGAAAGAACAATTTGACAATTTTTACAGTTTTAAAAATCCGAAAGAGACAAAAAAGAGAATGAGCCCTAATGCGATGCTACATAATTTATAGCCATTATTACAAAAAATATATAACAGCAAAAATATAAAAGATATATAAAATATATAACATACAAATAAATAAAAAATATAAATTTAAATCACGATATAGCATTTTACAGCCAAAATATATTTGTTTGTTTAAGTAAATATTCAATATATATTTCAATATGTATTTAATATATATTTTTTAATATATATTTTTTAATATACATTTTTTTGTAAATTACTGCACGGAATGCGGAAGATCCGGGTCGACTCCTGACGAGGATTCTTTTAAAATTTTTGAAATCTTATTAAAAACGGGAATTAAATGGATAATTCATATATGTACGTGATGCAAAGTAACATCCTATATGAATTTTAGAATTGTTATTCGATTGAATTTTTGAATTGTTATTCAATTCAAATTATCTGCGCGCATATTAATTTACACGTTAAACAAAATATATAATTTTCGCACGTACATCCACTGGCTATAAAGTCCTATTTTTCGAATTTAAATTTATATCAAAGTTGTATTTATTGTTATATATAAAAATATAAATATATAGGAACAGAAAAAAAAACTTCGACGTCGATTAAAACATCGATCTTGTCAATTTCGTCTGTGCTCGAATAGGAATTTCACCGCGGGGCAAACGTTGCAGCGAGTTCGAGATAAAAAACAGATGGGGAAAAGAAAAAGCGGGATGGGGTGAGCGCGGATACTTCGCTTTTCATTACCGCATGAAAGGTGTATAGAGAGGAAGGGCTTACACCTGTGTTTGCGAGACTCTTTACGTCTACTTAATATTAATAGATCGTTATATAACACACGGTGGAAAACAGCGGCCTGTCCCTCAGGACAACTGTACCATCTCGGTCCGCGTTCATTGAAGGCTGTCGGTTAAATAGCCAACCTCCTCCCCCCATTATTAGACCCGATATTACTTTCCCCTCGCGCGCGGAAAAATTCACAGCGCTCGTAACTCGGTTCTTTATGCGAAATCAATCAGCTCGAGACAACGGCGAGCTTGAGCGACGCGTTGTTGTATTTTTTTCAATTAAAACAATATCGAAAGAAAAGACGTGCAAAAGTCTTCTCTTTAATTAATTTTTCAGATGCGTAAAAACTCATGTACTTTATACGTCGCGACACAAATTGATTCTCTTTGCTATTCCGTGCGCAAAAATATTAGAATAAAAACCGTGCGCGTGTATCTCGTGAAAATTGAATATTTTTGCTGAAAAGATACGTGTAACGCGTTATTTAAAAAAAAAAAAACATATTTCAGAGAGCGAAAAAGCAACGCGAAATACGAGACCTCGATATTTTTGAGAAACATTATTTAATAATACATAAACACGTAAAAAAAAATTATAAAATAAAAAGAACCTCTGATAAATTTCTTGTTTATTAACGACTGCAACGTCGCTAGACAATTCGACCGTGTCCAATAAACACGCGTTTTCTTTGACCTTTCAACGATCTCATCTCGTCGCGTGTCTTTCACCTCTTCCTCCCAATGTGCAAACAGTGGCGAAAAACACTCCCGACGGATTCGGATGTTCCATTATCGCCGGATAAACGACACCGGGAACTTTTTGCCGTCGTCGCGACGTCACCGGAAACAAAAAAAAAACAAAACAAAAAAAACAAGAACGCCGCGATGTCGCCGCTGCTGACTCATTCGCCGCGCGCGGTTCGAACATCGTGGGATTAATTGCCCGCGACAATCGCGCTTTCGGTTCGGTCTTAATTGATAACACTTAATGCGACTCTCGGGGGCAATTAGTCCGCGCGCGATCGATCGTACGAGATAAATGGCAAATCACGTACGAGTCCTCTGCCGCCACATTTAGATCCCGAATCCACGTCCGATATCCCGCGAACTATCCATTGACGTTTAGTCGCGCGTTTCCAGCCTCAAATAGCTAATCGAAGGGTAGAGACGACCGAAATTACGACCGGTATTTGTTCGCATTCCTGTCTTTTTTTCTCGGTAGCTCGTTTGATGAATTTTCCGAACCGTGATTTGTCCGTCTCTCTCTCTCTTCCTCTCTCGTGCTCGCGCGATCCTTCGTAATCGCGCCGTAAATATCGCGTCGCTCGGCACAGGGAACTTTGTCCCAGTTTAGTTTGAACGATTTATCCCGCGTAGTAGTACTACGCATCCCCGGCAATCCGCATGTGAAAAAAACTCGCGTTTTTTTCCCGAGTTTTTAATTGGTTCGCACAAGCGCGCGAAAGAAAATATTTTACGCGAAGAGTGTAATAAAGCACGGAGATTTTTTTTTTTCTGCCGAGCGCGGAATTGCGCGCGAATTTCCAACTAACGAAATATTTTTCTGATAAATTGGCCGTGTTCGATGTTTCAGGATTAATGTGTTGTTCCGTGTGTTGTGTGCGTCGTTGTAATAACGCGCACGCGCGATTTGTTTTCGCAATCGGTCGTCGATTTGAATTTATTAACAGCGCGCGTTGTATATGGAAAAATAATTGCAGAGACACGAGGCGTTTGAATGATTATTAACTTGATTTTTAATTAATTCGAATAAAGGTCGCGGGAACGTTCGCGGAACATCTGCACGCGGATAATCCGCCGTTCTTTCCCGAAAAGTGCGGCGTTATTGGTGAAATATATAAATAAAGAAGAAAGTATGTGTGTGCGAAACGGACAATCATCCGCAGCTGCAGCTCGCGACCGCACAAAACTGCTGACGGGTTCAAGCGAGAACCGACCGTTATTTATGCCGTTGGTACACACACACATGCAAGCTACCCGCATTCGCGGTGCCAACTTTTTTCCGGTTTAATTCGTAATAAGCGACCAAAAACAAACAAAAAATGAATTTTCTGACAGCGATGTGCATGTTCGCGACGATCTCGGGACGCGAGATTCTTCGCGAGGCACAACTTTCGCATCGCGATCGAGCGCGCGGTTTTACGGTTTATAGAGGAAAAAGCTCGTCGCCAGTTTGTCGAGCAAATCCATAATTGAAAAGAACCGCGGAGAATCTGAGATGGAATTCTATATACGCTCGTCGTCTCTCTTTTCGTCTCTTCTCCGCGCGCGCACACACACGTGAGTGGCGGGAACGTATTCCGCAAATGGAATCTTTCTTCCTCAATTGCGCTAAAGATACGAAACGGAAGAGAGGCGCTTCCAATTCATCGCGGTGCGATTTACAGCGTCCAGTCTGAGAGAGGCGGGAAGATATAAATATCTGGCTATTTACGTGCGGCTAGATATCGGCATTTCGTTATCTTGGCCGGGCGACGGCGCGGAAAAGCCCGCAGTCGGCTTTTCCGCGCGTGTCTCGCTCGTGCGGCCCGCAACCGGGAAACACACAAGCTTTCTCTTTTCTTTCTCTCTTTCTCTCTCTCATCCGGAGACCGTCCACTCTCGTTTTCCCGCTCTCGCACCCTTTGGATAAAACGCCGCTGTCGATAAAACGCCGTTGATTTACTGTCGCGTCGAATGCTATCGCAAAATTGCGCTTTTACGTCGGAGAGAGGAGATCGTCGATGCCCGGAAATGCGCGCTGATGAAATATACAGAATGTTTCGGTAAAAACGTGTGACGCGCGCGCGCGATTCTTCGCGAGAAAGCAAAAATGAAAAGCGCGCAGAGGATTTTTTTGTTGCGCACGTGTAATCTCTATCTCTCTTAAAAAAAAAAAAAAAAAAAAAAAAAAAAAAAAAAAAAAAAAAAAAAATCCAAAAAGTTGAGTGTGTGCGTGTGTCGGCGCTGGGTTTTAAAGGATTTATTTTTTTTCTCCGTCAATAAAGAAAGTGACAAATCACATATCGATGAGTTGGGATTGTTATCCGGCGGAGTGAGGATTGTCGAGAGCGAACAGACCGCGACAAATCGAAATGATAGCGGAGATAGCGCAATTCTGTCGCGTGCGATTCGTTTGAGTCGACCCAGGAGGGGTTGAACTTTCGATTGCCGTAACTCGGTAACGAGGGTAAACTAGGGAGATATTTTGTTACGAAGAGAGAGAAGCCCGGAGAGTACGAAGTTTCAGCGCGCTTGTCACGCGCACAACCGTGAGTATCATGTGCGACGTAGCGGAACTAGAACGATACAACTCTCTTGTTTTATTCAATCTTCGATAAAAAAAAAAAAAAAAAAAAAAAAACAATTGCCTTCCGAAAGAAAAATTCCACCGGTTTAGGTTTATCTTTGAACCTTATAATATCTCGAATAAATCGTACATAATAAATAATGTGTAATAAATGATTTAACGCATTCCTATCCGTGAATTTCCATTGGCCAATATATTCATAATAATTTCATAATATATTCATAATAATTTTTTAAATACTGGAACGCTTGGATCAATAATTTTCTATATAGACAAAAAATTGATGAGATGAGATGAGTTACTAGGAGTTTAGGGTTTCTAGTCGTTAAAAAATTAAAACACATTTGCATTTGAAACATAAACAACCAATTGACGTACTATTACCCGTTTCGAATTCTTGTTGGCGCTCTCGTCTGTGTTCATTTTTTAAATATCGGAGCGCGCGCATCACTTGAATTAATAATTTCTCACAAGCGGGAAAATGAGATAAAAAAAAAAAAAATGTTTCAATTTTTAAATTCATTACCGTGCGCTTCTAGTTTTTAATCGTTGAAAGATCAAAACATTTCAAACACACGATAACTAATTCAACACGTCGTTATCTACGTGTTCAAACTTCCGCGCATATTCATTTTTTATCTCGCGAATTTGTAAACTTGACATTTGCAAACAGAGAGTTACATGCTTATCCCGGGATAAGGGAGTTATCCTGCAGGATTAATGAGGCAAACAGC